TTCTGATCTTTCAGTAAGATGACCAACTTTTCTGGTTTTCCCAGGCATCAGAAGATGTTAGGGATGCAGAACTTGTCATTTTAAAATCAAAGAAGTCTTGAGAAAATTTGGTCAAGCTGGTTGCCCACTCTCCAGCCTCAGCTTAAATATTTCCTTGGTAAAACTTTCTTTACCTGCTATATCTAAAGCAGATTCCCCACTGGGTCCTCCTTATCTGTCACTTCAAAACTATTTCCTTCATAGGAAGGCTTTCTGCATTCTGCAATTATTTTACTTTATGTCTGAGTTTGGTTTTGCTTCTTTCCTCAATGCCTAAGTATCATGGGATGCCAGGATGCCTGTCTCATTCCTCTATTCAAGGAAGGGAAGGGGAGGGAGCGATGGAAGCAAGGAGGGAAGATATCAAAAGAGAAAAGAAGAAGACAGGAAAGCCCTTAGAGTAACGTTCAGGCTCACTTCTGTGAAAAAGATATGTACTATTAAATCTCTCCCCAAGAACCTCTAGGATAAGGTAAATCCTTTCTTCAAACACCTCCCTCTATGTATTTTTTATTGGATCTATGTCTGTTTTTCATTAAATTACTAAAAAATTCCTTTAGCATGTGAGTTTAGTGTATGAATTTCCTATGTTCTGCTCCCTCTATATTCCCTTCAGTGTTCCAGGAGAGTCATTTGATTTTTTAAATAAATGCATAAATCTCAAATGCCTTCAGGAGCCAAGGCGGCAGCATAGCAGGAATGAATACAAGAAAAATCATCTGATAAAAAGCACGACGAAACTTGCCTTATTTTAACTTCAGTATGGCGTACACATATAATCCTATGTGTATTTGTGTAACACTGGAAACTTTATTTTATAAAAGAAATATAATACAAATTGAAAATATGATATCCTGAATGCTGTGATAGGTTTTCTTATATAATTTAATTTTAATGTGCATAAAAACATATTACTCCTTTATCTAGCTGATGTTATTAAATATTTCTCCTAAGACCTCAACTTCTGGATTTCAACACAAGAAAAAAAAATTTTTTTAAACTTTTTATCGGTACCAGGGATTAAACTCACGTCCACCTGCTTGCAAGGCAGGTGCTTATGCCGCTGAGCTAAATCCCCAGCCCCGAAAAAATATTTGTCAATGCATTTCAATGTTTAGATAAATGACCAATTATTATTAAATATAAGGTTTTTTAAAAAAATAATATTTACTGCAATTTCCTATTTGTTTATTTATTTAGGTGCTGGGAATTGAACCCAGGGCCTCAAACATGCTAGGCAGGTATTTTACAACTGAGCTATACCTCCCGCCCAAATATCGGAATTTAGAGAAAAATGCTCGGAACCTTATATTCTTGCTGGATTCTGTGAAACTACCATTGATGATATTATCTGGGAGCTAGCAGACTCACAGTATTTTCTCTCAGAAGTCATGTTACATCAGTTCTTTAATCATTGTATCCCCAGAACCGTAGCATCTGGCCCTATTTCTGCAGAAGGATAGTTCTCGATTGATCCCTTGACTTACTGCTGGCATCTGCTACTACTTACATCTAACATATATGTGACTTCCTTTTTGTGGCTCATTAATGAGATCAGAAAAGCGTCTCATAATAATCAGTCAGAAGACTAGTCAGCTTTCCCTTACTATAGCAAATACCTGAGATAAATCAATTTAAAAAGAGAAAAGGTTATTCAGGCCCACATCCTCAGTTGGCCCCATTGCTTTTGGGCCTGTAGAGCATTGTGGCAAGACATTTATGGTGGATCAAATTGCTCAAACTCATGGAGGCTGGGAAGCAAAGAGAAAAAGAGAAAGAAATTGGCATCCTACAATCCAGGTGACAGCCCATGTCCCCAGTGACTAGACTTCCCACTGGGTGTCCTGTCCAACCTCCTGGCTTTCCATGAGACACAGAGTCTAGGAATCTAAATTAGAGCTATTCTTATCTGGTTCATACCCAGCTCTCTTCCTACCCCGCCCCCCATGGTTTATTCCCATCTCATAGCAATCCCAGCAGAAGAAATATCTCCTTTACATTGACTTTGTGCATGAGTCTCTAGGCCTAAAAAGGAATACACACTCTCTCTCTCTCTCTCTCTCTCTCTCTCTCTCTCTCTCTCTCTCACCATGGACTGGGCTTGCTCTCAATGTCAAAGAACAGGCCATAATGTGCCTTTCTCTCCCATATTTTTTCTGCAACAGATCCTGATCTCTCCTAAGGCCGAGGGAGACAGTCATGTACTTAGAAGGGCACAATAACACTGCTCTATTGAATTACGTTTTCCTTTTTTGACTTGTTACTTCTTTTAATTTGGAACTAAAACTTCACACTTTTTCTTTTCACTAAAATGTAATGTCAGGACTTGTATTTCTTAGTACACTTTCCAACAGCTTCTAGTCTTAAATCCTTTATGTGTAAGGGATATTTGTTTTTATTTTTAATAGAAACAGCTGATTCCAAACATGGGTACTTCCAAATATGGATGTACTCTGTGCACAGTGGTTTTTATATTCAGGCCAACCAACTCTTAAGATTCTGCTCTTCTAAAAGAACTTTATTTCTTTGTTTATGATCCTGTGGCATTACAGTTCAGTAAATTACACTTGTAGCAATTTTTCCACACTATCGATATTGATAGATGGTAAAAAGAATTTTCTAAGCTCTTTTTCACAAAGTTAGCAATCAGGCAAGAGTTTAAAGTTTAATCCTTAGCTTTATAATTATGTTTCACGTCATGATTTCTCTTTTTGGAATCTGACTTCAACATAGCAAAGTAGGTCAGCTTATTATTTGCCAGTGGACACTCAAGACACAATTTCCTAGGAATAAATAAATTATATAACAAGTTTATGTAACCACCTATGAATACGCAGGCAGGAGAGCATATTTAAAGTGCAGTAAATTAAAGTGTCAATCAAAAACCAGGTCTTTGGTTCAGTCTTGCCAGGAATTTTGAAACTCAGGAATTTTTTATCTGACATAAAACATAATATATTACTTTTTTAAAAAAAAAACTCTTTGAATTTATTATATTATGCATGGTGAAATAAACAGCTACTTTGAAGAAAAAGAAACATTATGGTATCCATTGCAGATTCCATATTGTCATGCTGTGAAATCCAGTAGCTTTTATTCTTTGTCCAAGGTGGTTTTAGTCTGTTTTGTATTGTCTAATTTCAACATACATGAAGGTATGGACAGCTATTTTGAAGAGAACAAGAGACATTACAGTAGCCATTGTTGATTTTCCTATTGTCTAGTTTTGAAGTCCTATAATGCCTTTATCACTCTGTTCTGATCAGTTTAATACTATTTTGTTTTGTATGAATTCATTATGTGTGAAGATTTGGACAACTATTTAGAGAAAACAAGAGACAATATGATAGCCAGTGATGATCTCCTGTTGTCTTGCTTTGAAATCTGTGTCACTTACATTGTTTTCTTCTGATCTGCTTTGTTCTGTTTTGTTATGTTTAGTTTTACCCTCTTTTAAATAAAATTACAAAATAAATTTTAAAAACTTTTATATTTTGCAAAACTAGTTCATTTTCTGCTACCATATCATGCAATTTATTAAGCAGAGGATGGAACTGGGATTTAAGCAATGGGACCATGTTTAGTTCGTACTGATATATCCCTATGTTTTCTACCTTTTATTTTTTATTTTTTTTTATTTTTTTTTTTTAGTACCAGGAATTGAACTCAGGACCTTGCACTTGCCAGGGAAGTGCTTATGCCGCTGAGTTAAATCCCTGGCCCTTCCACTTTTTAATTTTAAGGACACAGTATTGCTGGTGACCCTGGAACAAGCCCTTCTATAATTGGGCATAGTGATGTAATTCCAACATTCAGGAGACTGAGGCAGGAGGATGGCCAGGTCAAGGTTAGCCTGAGACACGTAATGAGTTCAAGGCCAGCCTGAGCTACACAGTGAAACTGTGTATTATACCAGCGGCAGCTGTATATATTATATCCTTGTAAAATTCTCTGCCTCAAAGTTTGAGTTTTGTCATAAATTCAGCTTTAACATCCATCATTACAGGAATTTATGCTAAAGAGTGTGTTACATTTGTAAACTCAGTGCAGAGCTCCAAGTCATCCCATCATTCCAAGACGGAGTTAACAAAGGAGTCTAAGCAGGGAGGTAAAGGGAAAACTGGGGAAATAAAGCGAAATTCTTCAAAGGAGAGAGAGGGGCTAGCGGTATAAGTGATGCGAGCAAGTCAAATACTAGGATGCTCGGGACCGGCTCTCATGGCCCACTGCTCCCCAATTCCACAGCAGCTTTCATCTTTCCCTTCCAGCCATGTCCCCTGTGTCCCCCGATTCCCACTCCCACTTGGCTTTTGCCTAGTCACTTTGATGCTCCCCACGCACACTCCTCCCACCTCAGGGCCTATGCGTTCCTTGTCTTCTCTTTCTGGAATGCTTTTCCCAAATGTCAGCATGGCACCCTCTCTTCCTTTAGGTCTCTGCTCTGTCATCTGGCGTGAGAGGTCTTCCCTGACCAGCCTAACTAGAAGAGCAGCGCTAGCCACTGAGCCTCAATGCTTTATTCCTCTCACTTTTAATGTAACAACTATCCCATTATAATTTATGTACTTAACAAGACTACAAACAAGATCAGCAACTAAAATTGTACCTGCCACGTAGAAGTTTATGACTGTAAATTTTGAATAAATATCCATTACATGAATAAAATTAATGAAAAAACAACTAGCCACACTAGTTTCATGGCAACTAGTTATACAGTATGATTATTAATCTGGCCTGAAGGTTAAAACCCCCAATTTTGATGAGAAGATATATTTTTAGAACTCCCCTTTTACTTAATAGATTAAATGGCTACCCTAAGAATGTCATCTCCCCCTTTTTCTATTTTCTAAATACCCTCTAATGACAACTTTCTCAAGTTTCTGATTTTACTTAGATAAATTAAACAACATATGCTAAGTTTTTGTTTGTACACTAATAGAACACACAATAGGAATGCCTATTTAAATATTTGTTTATTTTAAACTTTTTATTAACTTTCCAATTTTATACACACATCATATTTTAAATTTTTGCTTCATTTTAAACCCTTTATTGACTTTTATTGACTTTATTTCAGCTTTAAAAAGCCCTCAAGATTTATAAGAGAAGGTACACAAAGCGCTCAACCAAGTAGCATTTATAGCCACATGCAGCCATCCAGATCAGCAGAAAAGAAGTAATTTACTGTCTTGCGTACCTTCCATATGCACGGAGACTGAGGGCACTGCAGCAGCAACCCTGGCATCTTTTTGCAGCATGACACTGGAACACAAAAACAAAGCCAAATAAGGGGACACTGGTCACTCTGCTGACTCACTTGACAAAAGAACTTTACGCACATAAAGTGATGGGTGGACAGAATGGGAAGAGAAATATTAGTGGAAGTATTTTCCAGTTTCTGGTAAGACAGCAGGCTCTAACTAAAAGAGAATGACTAGACCAGATGCAAGAATATATAATGCTAGTCACACACGTGCGGGTGAAATTTACAGGTAACAAGATGCATTACAGTTCTGTGCTTTATTCTTTTACCTTCCTGAGAACAAAACCTAACCTAGCCATTCTAAGCCCAGTGGAAAGAATGGAGTGGAAGTACGACTGTTGATGGTTATAGATTATGTTCCAAATAACAATGTTTTGGTCAATGACGGATTAGCATACAGCAGTGGTCCCATGAGATTACATCACCTGGTGATGTCATAACTGGCTTAGTTTGTGTAAGTACTCTCTATAACATTCATATAGTGACAAAATCACCTTCCGATGTATTTCTCAGAACATATCCCTGTCGTTGAATGAAGCTATTAGTGGCTCACTCTTGTTTTGTTTTCCCAATGTTAGAGAGCAAATGAATCAATAAGTATCTTTGGAAACATTGAATGAATAACTAAAATTAGAAAAGGAAGACTTTGCATTTTAAGACAGCAGGGAAGTGCGGCTACTTGCACATTTATATAAGGAGATTATCCAGGGCAAGCCCACTGTAACCGTGAGTCCTCAAGTGGGGGAAAAAGAAACAAAACAATTAGAATCAGGAAAATGGTGTCACCTAGCCTTTGCTGGTTGTGAACATTGAAAGGGGATTCCTCGCAAAGAAATATGGGCAGCTGTAAAAACTAAAAAAGGCAAGAAAATGGTCCCTTCCCCAAAAAGCTCCATCAAGGAATGCAGCTGTGCCCATCCCTGAGAGGCATTTTGGGTTTATGACCTCCAAAACTGTAAAATAATAAATTGTCTTGTTTTAAACCACTATATGTGTGGTAATATGTTACAACAGCAATTGAAAACTAATACAAAAAATTTTATAGGAAGAATATGCAATTGAATGCAAAAGTACACTAATCTTAAGTGCGTGTCATATCTGCCTCTTACATGTTATCACACAAATATACTGTATCTAACTGCTAAATCAAGCCACAGAACACTCCAGCACCCTGTAAGTTTCCCTCATACAACTTTTTACTTCATACATTACATTTTCTTCCTAAAAAGGAAGAAAAAGGTTTATATTTGCTCATTCCCAATATTTCTGTGAGCACATACATGAAGCTTTCCCTCACGTCACCTGGTATCCTATGATTCGATCATGATATCAGCTAACCAGAGTTAGTCCAGACCCCAAAAGTTGAGGGCGTTCACTATCAAAATGAAATTTTTGGGCAATGGTGACTGAACTTAATCTCCAATCCCCCTCTTTCGGATGTGCAAGGGACTGAAGGTTCCAACCTTCTCAGTACATGGTTGGTTCCTCTAGTAAATTTTCCCCATCACCTCATTAGCATAAATTCAGCTAAGTTTGAAAAAAGCTTATTGTGAGTTGGGACACTGCTTTTACTTCTGTTGCTCAAAAAGTCCAAGGGTTTGGGGAACTCTGTATTAGAAACTAGGGATGAACATCAAATACATGTTTTCTATTGTGTCACAATTTCACAACTCCCAAAATCAGTCACTTTGGACTTTTTAAGTATTGATAAATTTTGTCTCATCTTAAACTTGTACAAATGGAATCAGACAGTATGCAATCTTTGGAAGTTTGCTTCTTTCACCCATCATAAGATTAATTCATTCAAGAAAGTAATTTGAAATGAGCCAGTTGTTCTCTGAATTCCTGTCAATTTTTATCATTCCTTTAGCCCCTCAGAATGTGAAACGTACCCAGGAGCAAAAGAGGAAAAACTGTACTGTTAAATGTTTCCTTCCAAAATAGGCCATTCATCTTAAAGATAATACTTTAAAAAGCCAAGGTTTGCATTAGCAAGTTCTATGTTACATTGGAAGCAAAAAGGAAGTTTGTGTTCCACTGAGCCAAACCTAGTGGAATAAAGCATAGAGTTCATTTAAAAAGTTAACTAAGACCCAAGTGTGGTGGCACATATCCGTAGTAACAGCACTCAGGAGCCTGAGGCATGAGGGTCATTGAGTGAAAGGCAGCCTGGGCTACATAGTGAACTCAAGACTAGCCCAAACTACATAGTAAGACCCTGTCTGGAAAAAGGGAGAGTGATAGAGAGAGAGACAGACAGACAGACAGAGACACAGAGACAGACAAAGACAGAGACAGAGATTCTAAAGTATATAGAATAAAGTATAAGGACATTGTCTGATATATAGAAAAGTTTTCTTGAAAAGCCCATTAAGCCTCTTCCTGCCTATGATGCTGCATAAACAACACATATATACCCCTCAAGAGATGAGACATTATCCCAGGGAAGGGCAGAACAGCCCTTGAAATTGAAGCTTGAAAATGAAGAACAAATGAAATGAGAATTCAGAATGCATTCTTTGTAATGGAAAAATAATATGATTATTATCTGGGACTTTTCGCTCCACAGTTTACTTTTTTAGCATGAACATAAGGAAGATGTTTTGCAGAAATCTCTGTAACTTTAGCAGTTAGGATTGACATTATCCTTGCTGATTTTTACATTGTTTATTATGCTCTTTACCAATAGCTTTCATGCTCTTCGAGAGGTTATAACAATATTTTAAATTTCTTTAAGATTATGGAAGTATATCTTCAGTGTATTCTAAATAGTTGTAATTGCTAATATCCTGGATAAAGAACAGTTCACTCTTATGAGAATATAGACATATATTACCATTAATGGGAGGGATGATTGAGGACGTACTATTATAAAAAGTCTATTTTTAGTAAAAATTTTTGTGTTATATGAGTTTTGTTTTCCCTGTATCCTTTTGAATTACATGACAAATAATGAGTGGTTGAATAACAAGGATGCCTGTACATTTAGCCAACATTTGATCTTTAGAACTCAAGCAAGGGAGTGATTAGAGATGAGCTGAGTCTACCCTAGGAAGGTAATCAGTGTTAACTTATCCAGCCTCGTTCATCCCATTCAGGGGAGTTCAGAGTTTAAAACAAGTATGTAAAATAAATTAGAGGCCAATTCAGAGCAGAAAAAAACTATTAGGAAACTCCAAAATAATCCAGATAAAACATGATGGAATTCATACCTAAACCCAGAATTATGAACTTGGAGAAAGAAAAATGGCTTCTACATGTATAAAGAACTTGGTAATTGATGGAGAGGCTCAAGGAGAAGGAGAGATTAAGGGACAAGTGATAGGCCCCATGGCTATGGGTCTCTTTCTTACTACATGGAATGTGTCTGGTCGGATGCCATGTTATGTGGCATCCCATATCTGTAGATCAAGCAGTCCCTAAACCCATGTGTAATGATGTAGTTGATGGCTCAATGGAGAGGAAAAGGAAATTTGAGAATCTGAGAATAAATCATTTGAGAAAATTTGAGAATAAACCATTGACCTTTTTAGAATGCAGTGCTGTGGAATTGCCAAGTGACTGGTTGGTCACTTTGAAGCACTTACTGGCTCAGCATTGGTCTTCTTTGTGGTCTTCATTGCTAACAAATTGGACACGGCACCAATGGCGGCAGCTAGATCATCCCTGGAAAGTCAGAGTGGATGCTGCTGGCACTGTGCATATCCCCCATCTCTGCCACAGGGACCACTCCGTTCATGCATCCACTGTACAGTTCTGTGGTGACTGTAGGTAAGAAAGACACATCTAATATCAAGTGGACAAGTACTTTTAGGGTGTAAGCTTTGGGGGATATTAGCACACGATACATTCATCTTCATCCTTCATGGCCCCTGCCATATGTCCACCCTTATCCCTTACCTCTACAATCTTTGTCTTGATCGTTCAGAGTTTTTCTTTACAGGTCCCTGAGTGACTGGACAGGTCATTCACCACTGCTCATAAATCCGTATCTGTATCACTGTCTTTTGCTACTTTTCCTTCCTTGCAAAGGAAATAACCAAGTGTATTGGTCAAAGCCCTGCCTATGGGGAGGACTGCCCTTTTTCACTATTTTGCAAGACCAATTCTGGTGTCAGGTTTGCATGGCAGTCTGAAGACTTTCCATGTCCAATTTCTGCTTCCTTCCTCTTTGGCGTCTCCCACTTCTCATTCTGTCTCAGCATCTGCTTTCCATAGAAGCCAGATGACATCTTTCTGACTTTATAGGAATGATGTTTAGGGAAGTGGAGGAAGAGTTAGTGAACATGTAGAGTGAGGCTTTATCTAGAAAGTTATGATACTAAGAAGAAATAAAAGAATTAAGTCTTCTCTATCCTTGAGAACTTTGGGGGAAAATTGATGGAGTCACTAGATTCCCCGCAGAAAGTTGTACAGAACTAATGTCACTTTATTTAGATGCTAAGTGGGGCTGGGAATTTAGCTCAGTGGCATAAGCGTCTGCCTTGCAAGTACGCGGTTGAGTTCGATCCCTGGTACCGATTTAAAAAAAAAAAAGAAAGAAACATAGATGCTAAGGGAAAGAGTAACCTCAGAAGACCAGAGAATTTCTGCTACAGTGGATAGTAAATAAAGCAATAGATTTTTATACTGTACTCATGAAGAGTGTGAGTATAAAAAAAAATAACATTGGCTAAAGGTACAGAATCTGGGTTTGAATTTCATTTCTGCTACCCTAGTTACAGAGCCTTGGCCTAGAATCTGACACCCTCTGAGTCTCGTTGTCCTCATCTATAAAATGATGATAATAAAAAGATCTATCAGAGATTATTGCTGCTGCTGCTGTTGGTTTGTGGAAGACATATTTAGCATTTCTACTTTTTTTTCAGCCTTGAAGATTGAACTAATAGTTCCTTGGATATTCTAGGTAAGCTCTCTAACACTGAGCTGTACCCTTGACTCATTTCTGTTTTTCTTCTGAGATAGGTTCTTGCTAAATTGGCCAAACTGACCTCAAACATGTGATCCTCCACCCTTAACTCAGCATCTTGAGTATCTAGCATGACAGGAATGCATCACTACATCTTGCCCACTTCTCCATCTTGATGCTACAGCAGGCACACCCAGAATTCTCCCTGAACTAGGAATTTAACCCCTCACCACCACTTTTCTGGATCCTCCTGACCCACTCTCTGGATCCTCACATATCCTTCACCTGACCCCTCAAATCAACCTAACACTGGAGACTCCACGCCAACCTGGACACCCTGGTCCTTTCCACCGGGTTCTTTGTTCTTGCATTCAAATCACTAAGAACTTCTGAATGAGTTGTTATGGTTTGGAGATGGTCCCCCAAAGTTTCATGTGCTAGAAGATTGGTCACCACTGCAGTAGTAGGATATGGGAAACCTCTAAAAGAGAAGTCCTTTAGTCATTTGGGATCTTGCAAAACCCCTGAACTTTTGAGAGAGCCAGTTGTTTAAAAAGCCTGAGCCTCACCCCTGCCTCCTTCCTTACTATGTGAAAACTTGCCCTCCAACCAACTTTACCCATGGTAATCTGTCACGAGGCCCTCACCAGAGCCAAACTGATACTGACAGCATGTCCCCAAATCTCCACAACTGTGAACTAAATAATAATCTTTCCCTCCAAAGTATCCTGCCTCAAGTATTTCATTAGTAACAACAAACAAACTGATAATGCAGAGGTTAAAGGCTTTTCTTACCATTGTACTACATGCAGATTGATGCTTTCTAGTCCCCACAGGGTTCCTACAATATCTGTGCCAAGCCTCCTTTCTCAAACTCCAAACAATTTCTCTCTCCCAAATTGTCCTCGGCAAATGACCTCATCTCTTACTCTAGAGAGATGTCAGGGGACCTTTATCACAAGTTCTGGCCCTTTCCTTGTTTTCAATCTCTAACATACCTGTGGGGTCTAATAAGGATGGACCCATTAAATGAAGAAACAAATGAATAATTTTAAAATACCTGGAAGGAACAACCCAGGTCTCTACAACTCACCACATCAAACTTCAGAAATGAATACTCTGCCGATGGCTGCCCATTTTCACCACCCTCCCTTTCCTCTGTGCTGGGTCTTCACCTCACTGTTCTGAAACTGCTGCCTTGAAGGTCACCATGACACTTTCATGATGAAACCTAACCGCAGTTTTTAAGGTCTCCGCCTCCTGAACCTCTGCATTCAACACTGTTGACCACTTCCTTTTTCTGGTAGAATCACTCTGCTCCCTAGATTTCTGAGACTCTTCTTAAACTCTTCTTTAACTTCTTTACAACTCTACCAGCTTTCTTGCTGTGTCTTCGCCTATGTGTCCTCCTACTTATCCTGGAAGGTAGCTTTATCCTATCCACTTCCTAATTCTACTTTTTATATCTTTTTATTTTATTATTCTGTGATACTAGAGATTGACCCAAAGGAGAACTCACCCACATCCTCAGCTCTTTCAATTGATTTATTTATTTGAAACAGAGTCTTGCTAAATTGCCTAGGCTGGGTTCAAAATTGTGACACTCTTGCTTCAGCCTTCCAAGTAGCTGAGATTACAGGTGCGCATAGCCACATCCGGCTGTATAATCCATTTGCTGAACACATCTCCTAGGACTTCAGTTCTTATTTCTTTGTTCATAAGCCCAAAAATATTCTTCATTCTCGCTCTCTCTCTCTCTCTCTCTCTCTCTCTCTCTCTCTCTCTCCCTCCCTTCAAATTCATGTCCCAAACACCCACACTCTATGACTTTTCTTTTTCTGTTAAGGAGTTGGCCCATTTTCAAAGATTCAAGAGTACTTTTTAACACTCACCATCTTATTTGACTTACAGGTTTTTCCTGTGAAATGGCTTTGTTCACCCTTATTTCTTCTGCTGTCGTGTTTATTAACTCCCCTACAGATAATCAGCAATAGTGCCTCGGATGGTTTCCCTGTATCTTGAGCCAGCATCTTCAGCGTGTTTTTTTTTTTTTTTTTTTTTTTTTTTTGTCTTTTTCTTTTTTATCGGTACCGGAGATCGAACTCACAACCACACACTTGCAAGGCAGGCGCTTATGCCGCTGAGCTAAATCCCCAGCCCTCAGCTATTCTGTTAATGGCTCCCATTGTCATTTAGTTATTTCTTCACCACAAATAGAATCTCAAGTCAGTTTTCTAGACTTTTTCAATACCACCAACACTTCTACTTTCTAACCTTTTTTAATTTTTTAAGTCCTAGGGCTGATACCCAGGACCTCATGCATACCAGGCAAGTCTTCTACCACTGAGCTACACCTTCAGCCCTTTTTATAAGCATGAACCCCCATACCCAGTTCCACTTTCTTCCTTTTAAAATATTTTCTTGGAATGGAGTTATAATACCATCACAGCAATCATCTATATGGTACACTAGCATTAATTTTCATAAAAATATGTGAAACCCAAGAGTACGTGATTGGTCAGATCTTGAGTTTTCTGCACCTGTATAACATATAATTCAAGAGAGGTTTAGATTAGTATACGTTCCTTTGAAGCCAATTTTCCAAGTTATATGTAGAACAGAAGAATTATGCAAGAAATAGGAGCAATGAATGATTACGTTAATAAATATGAAGACATTCCTTTAAATTTTCGTGGCATTAATAGCTATGTGTACAATCAATTGAAGTTTGTGAGTTACTTTTCCAATTGATAAAAAAATGTTCTTTGTAGATAAAATGTAGATGAAATCCAACTATGTTTTCAACTCCACAAAATCTCTCTCATCCTTAATAAATTCTCTTTTTTAATCTCATCTAGTTTTCACTCATTTATCTCTTCCCCTGAATAACCAAATGTCTTGGGGAAGAATCTACATTCTTGTCATTAGAGTACACTCTGTACCAGGTTGTTCTCACATTTTTCAGTTACCACATAGTGACTCAGGGTGACTCAGTCATACACTCAGGGACTGGGTGTATGACTAAGTGAACACATGGGTTTTTCCTTTTGCCCTGGGTATTCTCATCCATTTTTATATCTCCTATCATCCACAGACACATTCATGATTTCTGAATCTAACACTCATGTTAGCCTTTGGTCTTTGTCCAGTTCCCATAGGTATGTGTCTCTTATGAGGCATTCACATCTAGATTCCAAACTGAAAATTTAAATTCAGCATTTCCTTTTACAAATTTATTGTCCTTTCCACTAACTGACTGGTTCTTTTTAAATTGTTTATACTCATCAATGAAATGGCCATCTTCCAAGTCCCTAAGTCATAAATTTAGAAATCATCCTACTGTCTTTTTTTTTATTCTTCCTCCTAAGTAACTTTGAAATCTGTCTCTCACTTTCTTTACCTGTTAAGTCCTATTCATTGTTCAGGAATTTGCTCCAATAGCACCACTCCTATGACTTTTTCTACTTTTTAAAATTAGTTTCAGTGATACATTTTAGACATACATAATGATCATATCCATCATACCCATATCTAGCCTTCAGGAAATCTAAAGTTTTGAAATCTTTGACTCAGGAGATTTCCACTCCCCAAGAAGGAGATGCTTTTGAAGGCAGAGAGTAATACTCAATTATCTTTCATTTTACATGATTTCTGACATATGAGAGACCTTTTATAAATATTTGTGGAGCCAGTGGTGCTACTGTGACCTTGGCATCTCTTACTTGATTGCAACCAGAATGACTCCCACAGGAACTGGCAGCTTCAGACAGCCTCCATATTGTGGTCAGGATGATCTTGCAGAACCACAATGTGAATATATCATGGAAAGACTCCAAAGAGCAAGAAAATGACCCAAATTCATACATCTAATGGGTAATGGAAGAATCTACTGTTATTGCTTATTGCAGAACTTTAAATGAAACCAGAAACTCCAGCCCAGCCAATCCCATTTACATCTGTCCACCGGAGCTTTTCCAAATAGAATCAGTGAACTGTTGAAGTAACTATACCAAGTTCTTGAACCTGCAAGGTGGAAGTCATGCATGTCCATCCCTCATATCTTCAAATGTGATTTATTACCCTGTTGAAACACTGTAGGCTTAAGAATCAAGAGAAAGTCCTCAAAGAAACATAAACAAATTCAAATCTAATATTAACATGGAAAAATTTTGGTGTGGACTCTCGTTAATTGGAGTTAGTATCTGCTGTAGGGATTCCAGCACCTTACAACTTTGAAAAGCCATCAAGACAATGGAAGGGAAGTATAGAAAGAATGCTCTCTACTCAACCAAGTCACTCAGTGTGACAGGAAGCAAGTGAAAAACTGGAGAGTGAATCTTCTGATTTTAGGTTGCTTTCGTTGTAGTCCACATGTAAGATAACCAGAAAGCTATCCTTCTTGTGTATTAAGATAGTGATGTATAAGGAAATATTATTGGATATGTCATTCTTCTGAACTACAACTAAATTAGTGCTCAATAAGAAGGAAAAGAAAATCCTAAAAGACTCTTATATTTCTGGTTGCTAGACATAGAAATGAGGAGTCTAAAGGAGAAAAAAAACATATGTTCATGAAGATTTCAGAAACTAGGTAATAAGCTCACTTTTGTGGCCTTTCATTCTCCAAACTGAATGAATCTGGTTAGCTACTGGTAATGCAGTAACAAACAACCCTGAACCACAATGGCATAAAACTGAACGCACTGATTTCTCACTTTTCTCATCCATAGTTGGCTCTGTGGGATTTGCTCTATATATTGATATGTTCAGTTAAAGAACTAGCCAGATTGAGATAGAAACTATCATCAGAAATCCTTTTGCCCAATAAAACATACAGCAAGTCAATAATTAGAGCTACGTGTACAATTCTAATTTTTTTTGTAGCCATATTTTAAATAGTCAGAAGAATCAGTTAAGGTAAATTTAATACCTTTAATTAAACTTCTATGTTAAAAACACTATCTTTTCAGTAAGTAACAAATGTAAGATTATTGATAAGGCATTTTTAAACTGAGTCTTTGAAATCTGGTGTGTTGCTTACATTTACACCACACCCTCGTATAGACTAACCACAGTTAAGTGCTCAATGGCTACATTATCAGGTTCCACTTGGGGCCTCCAGGGTAAATCTAGTCATTAGTAGAGAAAAGAGAGCTCAGAGGGTCCTGTACCACCAGTGAAATGCTAAGCACAGATTTGGTCACAGGACAACACCCAAACTGAAACGGTTGGGAAGCATAATCCTGCTATGTTCCCATAAGCAAGAGACCTGGAAAAATACAGAGCTGCCATATTTGCCTTTTGAGTAAAATCTATACTAGCAAAAGCCACTATAACCATTATGTTGGCCAAGCCAGATTCTTCAGAGGCAATCAGGATAAGGATCTCATATTTTTTCTTCCCACAATACATTTAAATCAGTTTTCTGAAAGTAAACCTTTCTCCACCCCCTCATGGACTCACAGACATCTTTATAACAGTCTCCAGTTTCTCTCCGATAAAAGTAAAAGTCCTCCAGTCACTTCAAGTCACAAGACCATCCCCTAACTCAGTAATACTCTGAGTCTCATTCGGAATTGAGACTGTCTTTATAAGTTAGGGCTTCCAGGTTTGAGAAGCCTCTGGCAGGTGGGGTGCGGGTAGAGTCTGATATAATAAGGCCCTCTCATTCTTGCCCTTGCCTTTATCCATGTTTACTGAAATCTCCATGAGGGTTCAGATCTTCCACCTGGCAATATAACACACAGATGCAAAAGAACGACAAACTGAATATCCTGCAGTTGAGGAGCTCTAGGGTGACCAGTGTTCTCTGTGGAAAAAAAGGCCACAAGTCCAAAAGCTTGTGAGTTTCACTGGTATTACAGTAGGCAATGGCTCTAAGAAGAAACAGCAATTTTGTACCAGGCACAAATGCCCTCCAATTTGCAGTGCACTGGATAGCTTTATGTATGCAAGGCTGGCACCTTTATAATTCTTTCTGAGCCCCATAGCCTCAGCTGAGATGTTATCTCATATCCTCGCCCTTTCCAGGCACTTGCTTAAACCTCCATTCCAGCCATCAGCACAGGGGCTATTTTCACCCAGGTGTTGTTGCCTTGCTAATACGGAGACCACTGGTACGTAAGGTGGAATCAATCACATTCTTCTGGCCAGTTAAGAGAATATGTGCTTCTATATAACCTGCTTGACATGTCACAGTGAAAAGCTCAGCTGA